CCAGGCCCGCTGCGCCCCACCCGCCTTTGCCGCTCAGCCTCCCGTGTGCGAGCCCCAGCTCAGGACTGTCCGAGGCCCTTCCTTCGCCCACTTCATGGAACCTCCCACGTCCCACGTGGCAGATGTCCTGCTGATTAGTCACCGTCGGACACAATGAAAACAGAGAAAGGAAACTCACAGTGGGCTTCAAAGTGTTCCCCAGGGAGAGGGATGAGAAGGTCCCTGCCTTGGTTATCGCAGTGCGAGAACGCAGAGAAAAGGAGCGACAGGGCGCCAGTTAGATGAGCGGGCGCTTTGTCCACTTCTAATGGACGGCCAGGGCCGAGAAGGAGCCGCACGGCGCCCGTTCAGCAGCGCGTCTGTACGGCAGGCGTGCTGCACACCCAGTGGCCCTTCCCTGCTCTGGGGAACAGCAGCCCGGTCCCTCGTTAGGCAGGCCATCAGGTCCTGGCAGTCCTCCAGCAGGCCATCCCCCATGTCTGTGGTTGGGTGTTTAAGGGGGTTACCCTGCCTTTGCACACAGACGGCATGGGCCCACGGGTTTCCGTTCATGTCATTACTTCAGTGCACGTGGAATCCCTACGAGTGTGTGGACAGGTCGCCGACGCACCTTGGGTGGCCGCCACAGTGCGGAGGGTGCCGCTGGCAGCAAGGTCGTCCCTTCCACGTCTCCGGATCCCAGATCCTCACGCCGCTCAGGCCGGGTCCCTGCTGTAGGACAGACAGGCAGACAGGCAGATGGTGGGCTGGCGAGTTCCACCTTGTGATTTGAGGACAGCGAGAACTGTAAAGCAACCTGGGAGTTTGGGGCGCAGAGCGATGGCTCCCCACGGGTAGCTAGAACAGCCTGGCTCACCGCACGCCAGCAGCTGACTCGAGGGTGACCGGGTGTCTCTTCCTGGGAACTCCCGAAGTAGGGAAGGGAGGATCGGCCAGCCCAGTGAGGGGTAAGAATTGACCTATCCTGTCTCTCCGATGTGTGAGAGAGACTGATATTTTAAAAACTGTTTTGAAATCAACACCAGGAGGCCAGAATCATTCCCTTAAGGCCTGCGTGTACCTGTCAGTGACGTCGCCAAAGCTCAGATCACGGCATTCCCCTGCAGGGGGCTGGGGGGGCCAGGTGACAGTTGGCATTCATGCCCTAGAAATCTTACTCACTTGGATGAATTTGATGCTTAATTCCACAAAAGACACCAAAAACCAAACAGGTGGATTGTTGCACTAGATCAAGGTGTGAATTTTGAAGTGGTTTTTCTACATAAATAAACTTGAAGGCCATCGCAAAAGGAGAGTTTCCGTTGCATTATGGGAATAAACACAGATCTCCCCAAAGAAGGAGACTGCTCCTTTGAATCAGGCTTATTTTTAAAATCAAAATAAGTATTATTAAATTTGTTTGTTAAGGCCGGCCTCATAGCCTAGTGGTTAAGGGAGCCAGATCCCACAGGGCCAACCACAGTTCAAATCCCAGGCTCCCACGCTTGAAAAATACATCAGGTGTGTGGGCGTGCGTGCCCCAGACTCTGACAGGAGGGAGAAATGGAGGGGAGTGGTGGTGTGGCCACACTCCTCGCGGAGCTTGCCGTCCCCCTGTCTCTCTGCATCCCTCACGGAGCGTGCCGTCCCCCCCTCCCTCTGTGCATCCCTCGCGGAGCGTGCCGTCCCCCTCTCCCTCTGTACATCCCT